AACTGGATTGATACGTGGCTACCAGCAGCTGCAAGCAGTCAAATCCTCCTTGTTCAGCACAGGCATCATTTGATGGGCTAAACACACCCTTGGGAACACACACACACGAGTTTTGTGAGACCATCGGTGCAGGGCACATTTTCACCCCCCACTGCCCAGCACTGTCCATGCCAGAAAGCTGTGCTGCTCTATCTGTCCCTGCTGAAGCAAGGGGAACCCAGCCTCAGTGCAGGTGCCGAGGCATTGAGGTGGTGGGGCTGCAGTACATGGAGGATAAGGTGAAATGCTGGCACTAGAAAAACCATTGCTACTGCACAGGAACACATTCATGTAAAAGTAGTGTTGCTCTTGTCTGTGTGCAGGTATGGTCCTAACAGTTCTAGCATAAATAAACCCCCAAATTCTCATCCCTTTCTGCCCTTCTGTTCAGATCATTCGAGGACAGTATGGTGTCCAGAGGATGGAGCTTCTGCCTGGGGACCGGGAAAACTTGGCTATCCAGACCCGAGGGGGCCCTGAGAAACACGAAGTGACTGGCTGGGTGCTCGTAAGTACTTGGTGTATGCACAGAGCTGCACAAGCAGTACAGTGCAGTTTACAAACAGCTCATGAGCAAAGAACCCTACAAAGACACATGGCAGCAGACAGGGCATTTCGAGGCAAACAACCTGTGTGAATCACACATGAGGGTACGGGTGGCTGCTGGATCCGGTCTCACCCGTTGCAGTTTTTCACCTCTGTCTGGCATGCAGCAGAAGCATGCGTTCTATGATCAGAGAAGGCTAGACTTAAATAAAAGATCTCCTTTCTGTACATCCTTACTTTCCTGCTGCCATTAGTGGGAAGAAGACCCTCACCCTGTCTAGGAAGGAATCAGTAGAGAGGCAAGGCATCCCTAAGAACCACCCACAGCTGAGGAGCCCTTATACCTCCGGCAGAACTGCCCTTTCCTCAGTGAAACACATCACCGGTCTGAGAACAGCACAGTGCAGAAGCCATCAGCTCTCACCCAACAGCCTCGTGAGCTACAGGAGCACCCGCAGGCTAATCAGCGATTGGCACACATCATCTTATCTGCCTCCCGTAAGAGAATTGCAAGTATGATGGCTCCCAGCTGCAGAGAAGCTGGTGGCACAGCTTAGGGTGTTGGTTCCCACACCACCTGCAAAAGCAGGTGTGAAAACAAGGAGAGGAGAGGGCTTGAGCCGGTAATTTTGCTGAACTCACTGGATGCAGCATTTTGTAGGAAAGCTTTTGCTTCCTGCTTCCCTCCCTTTACCAAGCATGCAGTGCTCTGACACATCTCCAAACTAGGTAAACAATAAAAGACAAGGAGGGAGTGTTACAGCACACATAATCTGATCTAGCAGAGAAGAAAGCTAGGCTGATCCACAGGAGTGGGTGCTTGTACCAAACCTCACTGGAGAGAGCCACCACAATCTGAACCAGAGCAGACAGAAGAAATCATGCAGTCAGTGTGGTCCCAGAGGGTTAACTGCTACTTCATGCACCCTGTTCATCTCGTTATGTCTCGAGCAATTAACAAGTTATATTAAGATACCTTAAAACAGTATCACCTCTACCTATGCACAGGATACTTACCAGGGGATGGTGGGTGTGTTTGTTCCCTTAGATATCTCCTCTGAGCAAAGAGGATGCTGGAGAATATGAGTGTCACGCATCAAATGCCAAAGGAGAGGCAACAGCCTCTGCGAAAATCCATGTTGTGGAAACTCTGCATGAAATAGCTCTGACCAAAGGTAAGTAGTGTGGTTGAACACCCAGCAGCTCTTTCCTCTGACAGTTTACTCAGTTACTTGATACAGAAGGACCACCTCTGTTTAATGCTTTCTGAAGAAAAATGCACACTAGAAATACCAGTTTAACATCCAGCTTTTACTGGCTTTGGCAAAACATTCCCAGCAAATCTCAGCTGCTAGAGTTCTCACAGGACTGTTAAATAACCTCCCCAAGTGCTCTAAAGTACTGGAGATTAAGATACCAAATTAAAACCACCTTTTGGGGTTTTTATGAAGGAACCGTCAGTGGTTTTCCAGCCCTAAATTTGTGTCCTCCTTTCAGTGTTCTCGGGACACTTCCAAACCTGCCCATCTCTCCTAGGAGCTGTATTGGCACAACAAGCCCCAGGACAGAGGGGGAACTTCAAGCACTGAAATTCCTGCCAAGTCCCTGCATCTCCTTATTCTTCCCCATCCTGGAAACATCCTAGTCCCTGGTACTCTCTGCATGCTGGAGTATAAAACCTGGCAGGGGACAGCACAGCAGGCCTTTAGGCAAGACGTGAAGCTTTTCCCCTCCAGCCAGTTTTCAAATCCAGGTCCTCTTGGTCAGGCTGCGTGCAAAGCTGATGGCAAACCAACGACCCTTAGTCCAGCTGCGAAGAGGATGGCTTAGTACCACAGCCACATGTGCTCCACAATAAACCTGGAGAATGGTAACAGTAATTTTAACAGTGCAAAAGGCAGAGGCACTGGGAAATAGGCATCCACTTAAGAAAAAATGTGATGCCCAAATCCACTTTTAGACATAATCCTTAGTTTTAATCCCAGTAACTTTGTCCAAATGATATAGTCTTGCCTTTTTGTATCCTTATATCCCTGAATAGCTGAAAGACTTCCTTTAGGAGAATACTAACAGCACCTGGCATTGAAAAAAGAACATCAAATGAATCTCAGTATCAGTTATGCGTAGGAACCTTGCTAAAGGTTTTTAGCTAGTCTCTAATCCCTTTTCAAACATCTTATTTATGGATGTGAATGAAACTGAGTTTTACTAAGTTGTGCCATGAGCAGCACACTTACACCCCAGAATAGATGTTCACTCCCTCTCTTGCAGTAACTCTGCTGCAAGGCTGTAGTACCGCGTTCATTGCCTCATAGTTTATTTCTAACACACACACCACACGTTACAGCTGTTTCTTTTCAGCTGCAGGAAAGCTGTCAAGTCAGCATGCTGTAGCTAAGCAATAAGCTGGCAGTCCACAATTACTCAAAGGAAATTGATAACATTAATGGAACAAACTGTCAGATGTAACAGGCTCCTCCATAGCTACACACTACACGCTAGGGAGTCTGTGTCCCATGTCCAGGTGATCTCAGCACAGAAAAATGCCATCTATTACCATCCCCCTGCTGCTGGAGTCCTGCAGTAGGGAAGGAAGGAAGGAAAGAAAGAAAGAAAGAAAGGAAGGAAGGAGGGGGTCAGGACCGAGTTGTCAGGTCTCACCCTCAGTTACACCATCAGCTCACTCAACTCTCTGCGCTACTGCCCGAGTTGTGATACTGCCCCTTGGTACAGTACAGAGTGTAACATGTTTTTGTTTTTCCACAGATGATGGTGCAGAGCTGTGATGTGATGTGAGGACTTTCACTTACGCACAGTTTTAAATCAGTATTTTGAAAAGCTGCAACCTCTGGCTTTTTCTAGCTCACTAATCATTCCCTCTTAACTCCCTCATCTTTGATTACCAATTTGCTTGCACACTTCTTTCACAGATACACAAATAAAGAGATTCACAACTTTGATTACAAATTTTAATTCTATTTACAGGAAATAAACATACTTTGGACAGCACATAGCAGATGAGTAAAACTATTTTAAATGCAACCTACACAAAATGAAACAAAACCTGAGCACTTTGGTCTCATTGTTTCAAAAAACAAAACACAACAAACACAAAATAAACAAACCAACCCCTTTTAAAGGCTAAACACTCATCATACGAGGTGCAATACTCATAGACATCAGTTCTTGGAAGAGCAGTTTGCAGGCATAGGGCATCCGAACCAAAGATATCTGGAAAGAGATTTCAAAAGGCTTGTGATAAGCACTCCAAAAGCATCAACTTCCACCACCCTCTACACAAATAACTTGTCAAGTTTTTGGCTCAAAAGTGAATCTGAAGTTATGCATGAAAGCATTCAACAAGAATTGCTCACAGGCAGTTAACAAAGCAAGACAGAAGCTGAGACTGTCTGTAGAGGCTACACAGCAGCTATCCAGAACACATTTTTAGTAAAACTTGCAGCCAAGGGATCTTATCCTAAACAAGAGCCATTTAAGAAGGGAACATGTGCATAGCAAAGGGTGCCTGATGTGCAGTAAACGCAGTTAAGATTTCCAGCACACATCTCTTCAGTAACCCCAATGCCATTGTTAAGAGTTGCAGCAGTCGGTCCCTAGCACAAGAACAGGCCTGTTTAAGGCAACTGTTTTTAGTGCTGCCACTCTCCCTTGACACAGCTCGGTAACCATGCACACACTACAGAGCGCTTTTTCTATTAAAAAAAAAAAAAAGCACAACACAAGACATCCCACGGGAACCCAGCTCCACAAGCGTAAAATCTTCATGGGGACAGACACAAGGGTAATGGCTCTAAATTCCCGATTCTGAGTTTTACTTCTTAAAATAAGCTCTAAAGCGTTTACTTTTAACGTCTCTGAAAACTCTGCACTGCAAAATACTTGAACAGTGTTTTCTGCCAAGTGACAGGCCAACACTGTACAACTAATATGAAAACATCCAAATTAACTAGGACACTATAAACACTTAAAACAGTTACGAAACTAAAATAGCAATTGTTCTGGTGCTTCTTTAAATATTTACTTCCCTATCCTCCTGTTCACCCGGGTGGTATTTCCTCTTACCCACAAAGAGAAACGCTGGCTGACAGAAACCACACGTACCTGAGTTTTATTGCGGCATCCCCGGCATTCGTAGGTGTGAGTCCTTGTGTTTGCAATCGCCATGATTCCACAGAGGTTACAGACATGGACTTGGTAGGGGTCTGAAGCTTCAAACAATCTTTCTCTCAAGAACTGTGCTGCTCCATGAGCAATCTGGCAGTCTCGTTCCATTTCTCCAAAACGAAGGCCACCATCACTGAAAAAAAAACCCACTCAACTTTTGAGTTCATTGGCAAAATACATCAGGTCTCATTGGTGGAACAAGTAACTTATCAGAAACACAATAGCAGTATTACAAGGCAGAAGTAAAGCTGTGCTAATGCGCAAATGTTTTTTTTAACAAAAAAAATGGGTATTTTCCTCTAACACCTCAGAATAAAACTGTTAGGGAGAATGCGAATGCAATAATTTTTAACGGCTACTGAGCATTTCTAAAGCAGATGTGAGACAGCCAACAGTCACAGCACAACTGTACAGCAAAATGAGGTAAACAATTAAACCACTCTCTACTTATCTATGATGGGTTTAACCTTGGCTGGCTGCCAGATGCCCACCAAGCAGGTCCCTCACTCCCCCATGTCGACAGGACAGGGAGAAAATAAGATGGAAAAGCTCGTGGGTTGAGATAAAAAAAGAGGGAGATCACTTACCAATTACCATCACGGGCAAAACAGACTCAGCATGGGGAAAATTAGTTTCATTTATTGCCCATTAAAAATGGAGTAGGATGGTGAGAAACAAAGACAAAGCTAAAAACATACTCTCTCCTTTATCCTTCCCAGGCTTAACTTCACTCCTTCATTCCAAACTCCTTCCTCCCCTCCCCGTGGTCAAAGCGGGAATGGGGGCTGCAGTCAGTATGTAAGAGTTCCTCTCTGCCACTCCTTTCTCCTCACACTTTTTCTCTGCTCCAGTGTGGGGTCTCTCTCCCACAGGATAGTTTTGCACAAACTGCTACAGCATAGGCACTTCCCACAGGGTACAATCCTTCAGGAACAGATTGCTGCAGCGTGAGTCCCCCACAGATCACAGCTCCTGCCAGGAGCCTGATCCAGCATGGGCTTTCCACAGGCTCCAGGCGGACTTCTGCACCGCGGTGGTCCTCCATGGGCTCTGGGCAGACAATCTGCCTCACCATGGTCTCTCCAAGGGCTGCAGGGGGATCTCTGCTCCAGCACCTGGAGCACCACCTCCCCTCCTTCTGACCCTGGTGTCTGCAGGGCTGTTACTTTCACATTTTCTCACTTGTCTCACAGCTGCTGTGCAGCATTTTTTACCCTTTCTTAAATACGTTATCACAGACACACCATCAGCATCGCTGATGGGCTCAGCTGCGGCCAGTGGCAGGTCTGCTGGAGTCAGCTGTAAGTGGCTGTGTCCAGCACTGGTCCTTTCTCGGAGAACCTCAGCCGTGGCCCCTGCTACCAAAGCCTTCACACCTGCACTCAATACCTCATCTTAAGCTGCAAAGTTGAGACAGCTGATTTTCAGGGCTAAAAACTTCAAAGGAAAAAAAAACACTGTATAGAAACATCCTTACCGAGATCTACCTTCCATGGGCTGCCTGTTAAGTATCTGGATTGGCCCTCTTGCACGAGAATGGATTTTGTCATCTACCATGTGCTTCAGCCGCTGATAATATGTAGGACCAATGAAGATCTGTGACGTGATTTTTCGACCAGTGAAGCCATTGTAGAGGACCTGAAGTAGTCAATGCAATCACTGAATCATAAGCCTTATGATCTATAAAATGTATATTAAAAACATCCAGTGAATCGATATTTTGATTATACCTCATTTCCTCTTAGATGATAGCCATAATCTGATAAAAGATTGGAAATCTTCTGCACGTTGACAGCATCATTAAAAGGTGTAGCATCACCAATTTCTCCCTTGTTTGCAGACACCTACAGAGAAGAGATTTGCAAAAGCTTGTCAGATTTCTGAAGGACTATACAACATTAAGCTATATTGAAGTTTTAACTCTTAATGCCAGAACTTGAGATTCCATGCCCATGATAGCAGCCTATCTTGCTTTGTTTAATCAGCTACACAATTTATAGTGAGATTTTAAAAAATACACCGTATCAACAATCTTGCTACTCCTGTTTCTATTCCAGGAAATGTCTGGAATAAAAGCAACAGATGATAGAGTACACTGTTGACTGACTTGCCAAACAAAATTTACAGGACTGTAGGTCCTCCCCAAGAAACCCGCTTTTACTATCAAGTGACTGGAGAACAATCCTTATTTTAATTCATATACTGCTCAGACCTGCAGCATAAAAGATTCTTCTTACCTTCCCCTGAAGACACTCAATCAAGTGACCAATGGTCATCCGGGAGGGGATGGCATGAGGGTTGATAATGATATCAGGTGTGATGCCTTCACAGGTGAAGGGCATATCCTAGAGCAGGGAAACAGAGAGTCAGTTCTGCCCAGAATATCAGCTTTAAGAAAAGCAGTTCCATGGATCCAAATTAAACCTTTTAAAGCATTTCAAAGGCACTGAAGTACCATGTAAGAAGCAGCTGTGTCCCTTTCTAAACATATTTTAGCTTAATGTAAGTCAAATATTGCACTCTAGTAGACATTTCACAGACAACTCACTTGAGGCAGTTACAATGCTGAGAAAATCAGAGATAAAATGTTAAGAAGGAAAAAGGAAAAATAAAAATAAATCACTACCTCTTGCCTGTACTGGATACCACAGGTTCCTTTCTGCCCATGTCTGCTGGCAAATTTGTCTCCAATTTGTGGGATTCTTACAGAGCGTACCTGTAAGCCATAAGAAAACATTCAATTGGTAAATTAAATACAGAACAAAAATTATTAAAAGCAGAAAGCACGCATGTCAGTGCTCACCCTAATCTTGCAGAACTTGTATCCTTCCTGGTTAAGGGTTACCATGACCTGATCCACAATACCAGTCTCACTAGTTCGCAGAAAAGTGCTACAGTCTCTCTTCGTGAAACGTCTGTTGGTGCTTTCCAGTTCATCTTCATTTTCTGGCAGTGTTACTGTTTTGCCAATGATGACATCATCCCCAGACACACGTACCCCAGGTGCTATCAAACCGTCATCATCAAGTTTGTCATAGATTGCATGTCTCATACCTTGAGAAAAAAGAAAAAAAAAGTAGACTCCCACATTTTTCCACATACTGACTTTGATGTCTGGTAGAAATTCAACAAGTCTGCTTGCAACTTCAGCCTACTGCTGAAATGTATAATTTTATGCAAATATATCAACTGATGTATTTTGCTATTAATACAGACATTGCTGCTATTTTACATGATCCCAAATAAAGACTAAATCAGTCCAACAACATTAACAACCTTGCCAACAAAAAATTAATTTAAAAACTCAGTCTTTGTACACTCCTACATCTTACCTTGGCAAGTCTCCCGCGTAGGCTTTTCAAAAACTTCCTCTTGGTCATACCCTTTTTTAGACTCTTGCTCTTTGTATGAGCGATAGAAGACAGATCTGAAACAACATTATAAAGCCTTCTCCAGTGAAACCAGCATTGGTTTTTGTCATCTGTACCTCTCAGTTTCACTATAAGCACCCTTTTATCACATATTATGGCTACTGTTACTAATGACAACCAAAACAAATAATGTTCACATGCCACATAACCTTTCCTCTGAAGTCTTATTAATCTGTCCATCACTAAGGAAGGGAAAACAAAACCAAAAACCACTTCACCAAACAACAGTTTCAGATAGCATTTTGATGGTCATTTTTCAGATATTGACAAAACACCTAGAACATGCTAATTTTTGATGAACTACAGGAACCTTCAGATCCGCTTGACATCTCAGAATTAGTTATTATTCCTGAAGATTATTCACATCTTCATCCTATTGTTCTCCTATTACTTTT